TCTGCCTCTGCATCAATTAGAAAGACTTTTGGCTGCAAGTAACAGATCACTTGGTTATCAAGGATTTAAGTCAAGGATCAGATTCAATTCTGCCTACTGCCTGTTTTTATAAATAAAGTTTTATTGGAACACAGTCATGCCCCATTTGTTTACATGTTGTCTATGGTTACTTACATGCTACAAAGATGGAGCTGAGTAGTGCAACAGAGATCACATGGCCTTCTAAAATATTTAAATCTAGCTCTTTAAGGAAAAATCTGCCAACCCTGGCTTAGGCAGTAAGGGTATTTAATTATTTCATGTAGTAAGAAGTTTGGGGGTAGAAGTTTCATGTTCGGCCAGCTGCTCCGCAATGCCATTTCCCTTCACCATGCTTAGAATAAGCATCTTCCTCATGCTTATTATCACATGTTCACAAGATATCTCCCATAGTCCAGAGGTCACATGTGGGTTTAAAGTAGAAAGAAAGAGGTCAGCAAACAATTCTCACCCAGCTATTCCTTCTACAAGGAAGCAGACTTTCTAGAAGCTCCCAAGCCAACTTCCCCTTGTGTCCCATTGCCAAGAACTAGGTCACATGATCACTCCAAACTGCAATGGAGTCTGGGAAAGCAAGTATCTAGAAAAAGGGCTCTGCTACGAATCGGGCTGCGAACCTCAAGATCAGCAGTTCAAAACTACCAGCTGTTCCGCAGGAGAAAGATGAGGCTTTCTGCTCCCATAAAGATTTACAGCCTTGGAAACCCTGTACGGGTCACTATGAGTCAGAACCAACTCCACAGCACATAACAACAACATCAAATGGAGGGTTCAGTTAGCAAAAAGAAGTGAGGAGAAGAGCTTTTAGGAAGCCAGTTAATATAGTCTCTCAACCTAGACAAAGGGTAGACAAATAGAGCTAATATTTTTGACCACCTACTAGGTACTGAGTATTAAGTACTCAACTCATTTAATCCTTAAACTAAGCATAATTACCCAGAGAAATAATTAAGTTACCAAGGACACATGACTAATAAGGGTAGGTCTAGCTCTCAAAGCCAGTCTCCCTTAAGGCAAAGTCTCTGCTTGACTGCTTTCATCATGTGCTCTCCTCCCAGTCCATTCAGAGAGTCAGGAGATTAGGACATGCTTGTCCATCTGCTTCTCCTAACACCCCAGAGTGCAAGGTAGGCAAGGAAGGGAGCCCGGGCAGTGTGAGGGGAAAGACCCTTACATGTAGCCATAAACTGGTCCAGTGGGAGACATATTATTACATTATTTCACTTGAAACATTAAAAATCCCTTAAAAAGACAAAGTTGAGAAGGGATGGGAAGGAGAGTTGAATGGAAATAGGAAGCATAGGTAAGAAGCAGAAGAACTATTGTTCCATGGAAGGGATTGCAATCATTGAGATGAAACAAAGTGTATGATTTGTTGAATGTAAAACTGAAGATTTTGTCAGTAAACTTTCAGTCAATTCACAATAAAAAGTTAAAAAGGAAAAAAGCCTTTAAACAGTAGGTATCATGTTAGTATCACAAATGAGATTATGTAAGTGACTGCACAGCCACGTGACTTGGATTGGAGCTATTTGCTCATTTAGTTGTTAATTTACCAACAATATTGAGGCCCATACTATGTGCCAACCAAAATTCCCTCTGCCACAAAGTCACTTCTGACTCACGTGACTTTGTAGGACACAGTGGAAGTGTTCCATATGATTTCCTACGCTGCAGATCTTTATAGGAGCAGATTGCCTCCTCTTTCTCCTACAGAGCACTGATGGATTTGAACCATTGACCTTGTGGTTATTACCTCAATGCTTAATTCATGGCACATCAAGGTCCTTTACTATGTGCCAGGCACTGTAAAATCTTACATTTGATTATCTGATCCCACAACCCAACAACTTGTCACTTCCTTGCTGCTGTTGATGACTACCATTGAGACAGCCCCCAACTCATGGCGACCCAAACACAATGAGACTAAGCGTTGTGTGGTTGCAGATTGTACTATTGTGATCCTAGAATTTTCATTGGCTGCTTTTCAGGAGTAGGTTGCCAGAGCTTTCCTTCTAGTCTGTGTTAGTCTGGAAGTGTTGCTGGAACCCACTCAGCATCACAGTAGCAAGTCTCCACTAACAGACAGGGTGCAGCTGCCTGCTAGACTCTTCTTTTTACAGAGAGGTCAGAAAGGTTCTTGGACTTGCTCAAGGTCACAAAGTTTCTAAGTGACAGACCACAAAACTGGCCAGATTTCAACCATCCTGTCTTTACACCCAGTACACTTTCCTAAGCATTCTCACCAAGCTTTCTCTTTCCTACTCTTCTGTTTGTGCTCTGAGACCCACTTGACGTCCCTCTGTGTCCATTGTTCAGGCTCTGCAAGTCGGTAAGGCTGAAGTGAAAGGGCTTCTCAGGTAGGAAGCAATTGGGTGCCTGCAGACTCAATCTCAGGAGCCCTAGTGACACAATGGATCAGTGCTCAGCTACCAATGGAAAAGTTAGCAGTTCAAACCCACTCAGTGCCTACTCAGGAGGAAGTCCTGGTGATCTGCTTCCATAGAGATTACAGCCAAGAAAATCTACTTTGTCACATGGGGTTGCCATGTGTCCGAATAGACTCAACAGCACCTAACATCGTATCTGACCTCAGAGTGGCAGAGCTTCTTGCCAAGTGTAAGTCCATGAATTACCACACTCCTCTTCAGAAAGGGAATGGGGACCAGTGCAAGAGAGCCACAACCTTGACTCCACAGATGCAAGAAGAGGGCATCCAAAGTCATCAGTGAGGCTGAGGCACCGCCAGCAACCACAATCACTCACCGAGGTAAAAGATGCTGAGCTGGTCACTGAACCAGTGAAAGAACCAAGTCTGGAAATCTCCAACCTTTGGTCATTGTTGTTGTTGTTAAGTGCTGTCAAGTCGGTTCCGACCCATAGCAATCCTGAACAGGGTTTCTGAGGCTGTAAATCTTTACGGGAGCAGAAAGCCACATCTTTCTCCTGCAGAACAGCTGGTAGTTTCGAACTGCTGACCTTGCAGCTTGCAGCCCGATTCGTAACCACTATGCTACCAGAACTCCTTGGTTTGGTCATTAAGTTATATGAAATAATAAACTCTCAGTTCATGCTGCCTGTGGTCCTCACAGTGACACCTACTTTTAAACCAGCGTGTATTTCTTATTTTGACATCAAAATGGTTCATGGTTCATCAATGAGGTGGCAATTTCCTGAAGGACTGAGACTTTGCACTTGTGTGGAGTTTGATGTCCTGGATTCTAGCCCCAACCCTATTGCTAACTGACTAAGTCTTTCAACCTCTATTTCCCTGTTTACATTATTGACCTGGGTGAGCCGCTTCACCAACGGGTAGTAAATGTATTTCTTCTCTCACACTGTCACTGGAACACAAAAAAATATGGAGTATGATTCTACTTACAGGAAGTTCAAGACCAGACACAACTAATCAATGGTGATAGAAACCAGAATAGTGGTTGCCTGGCTGGTAGAGTGCACTGACTGGAAAAAAGTATGAGGGAACTTTCTGAGGTGATAAAAATGTTCTGTCATGTGTGGTGGTTACAAAGGTGTGTACAATTTCTAATTTTCTCAAACTGAACACCTGAGCTCTTTGCATGTTATTGTCTATACAGTATGCCTTAATTTATAACATTTTCTGGTAAAAAGAAGAAAGATGCTGAAACCACAATCAATTCAGCAGGCAGGAATGCCAGGATTGACTAGTGATCACAGGAGCCAGTTAGAGGTGTCAACACAAGTTTCACATGTTTGCTATTCTTAACTGATCATCTTCAGAGGGTTTCTGTGCCATTTAAGGAGAGCTCTGGTAGCGTAGTGGTTAAGAATTGGGCTGCGAACGGCAAGGTCAGCAGTTCGAAACTACCAGCTGCTCCGCAGGAGAAAGATGAGACTTTCTGCTCCTGTAAAGATTTACAACCTCGGAAACCCTGTATAGGGTCGCTATGAGTCGGAACTGACTCCACGGCACATATCAACAACAATATTAACTCAGGGAGTGTAGTGGCTTTATAGGATGAGCATTGAACTGCAAACCACTAGGCCAGTGGTCGAGACTACCAGCCACTCAGAGAGAAAGATATGAGGCTTTCTGTTTCAGCAAAGATTTATAGCTTCAGAAATGCTATACAGGGTAGTTATGAGTTGGAACTAACGCAACAGCCCTTAAGAACAATATTAACTCCAAAGCATGGTGGGTCTGTAGGATAAGCTCTGGACTGATAACCAGAAGAGAAAATTGAGGTTTTCTGCCCCGTAAAGACTTAAAGTTTTGGAGACTTTATACAGGGTGGTTCTGAGTCAGAAGCGACCCGACAATACTTAAAAACAACATTAACTCAGTCCACCTTATAAGATTATAATGAAGTGAAAGTTCTTTGTATAATGTATATCCCTGGCCAAGTATAAGATGTTATTCTCACATTTGTTCTCCACAATGTTTTAAACAGTGGAACTGACTTTGTTAAGCAGGTCCCCAGAAAATTCTCCCTAGGCTGAGATGAAATTCAGCAAAAGCCATATATTTTCAGAATGGCAGGGTTCTCCATGAACATGGGAGCTGGTTTGTCTGATCTGTTATTCATATTACAAACACTGCTTACCAATACTGATTTGCTGAGCTGGCTTTCCCATTGCCATAGAGCACCACTTTTTAAGATACTAAAATGATTTCCACAGACTGAACTAGATAATGTGTTTTCTTTTGAGGCTTTTTATCCCTTCTTATGCTCTGCCTCAAGATGGGGTCTGGTATTTGTCATTTCTTCTTCTCCTTCCAACTGCAAATCTGCAGGGGCCCTTCAGAGCTTTGCTCTGTGGGCTCTTGGTTTATGTCTGTTGGCTGAGGCATCTGTTTTTGGTGCCTTCCAGCACCTTCTGGAAGTCTCCAGATTACTGATGAGAATTGTGCTAACCAGCTTGTATCACCAGGCATCTCAGGGCTCAGCAGCTGTGCTATTTTCTGACTGGTGTCCCCACAGAGGGAGCAGAACAAAGCCTGGCAACCATACCTCCACTTCCAAAGCCAGCCAGAGAGCCAGGCCCAACGGCAGATCCAGCCTGGGTATTCAGCCAAGCGATACCTCCGAGGCCTCTTGCGGAAATGGCCCCCTGACACCATATACAGGCTCCAATGTGCAGGTTAGTAGAGAAGTGGCAGGGGGACCCTGAGTTGCCCCACCTCACATTCTGGTAGGAGAATGTGCTCTCTATCAAGATCTGGAACACCAGGATTTCAGGACTGATTTTATGTTAAAGCAAAGTTTCATAAGCTAGTAGCCCTCAAACTTCAGTCACACCTTTGACCATCTCTCTTTCCCACATGTGCAGAGGGAACCACAACCTGAAGGTTTGCCTTCACTCCCAATCCCTTTAGTAACCTCGCATTCACATCCCATGCCAGAACTTTCTTCTGAAATTTCCTCACCCAGAGCTCCTCCAGTTCAACCTTCTTCATTCACAAAATAAGGAAGGGAAAAAAAGAGGTCCAGAGAGGCAAAGTAATTTTCCCAAGGTCATTCAGCCAAAGGCAGAGCTAGGACTAGAAGCTAGATCTGCCCTGCACTCCCAGTTGCATATTCTTCCCAGAATTCTCTAGGTCCCCATCTAAGGGGATCTCAGATCCTCCAGAAAGTGATAACATTAGGGCTTCTCCTCTTAAAGATGGTGGCCTCTTAGCACAATCCACTTGAGACTGAGATGATAGACAGAGACCTCAAATGTATTCTGCAAAGACCTAACAATAGAAACCAGAAATGCTTGGAATTAACTGTTCCAGATTTATTGTATATACACACAGGCACCTGCGCTGACACCCACTGAAACTTAACAATATTTGGGATAACTTTTCCTAAAAAAAGTTTTGTTGTTTAACTAAAATTCAAATTTAACTGGACAATCTGTATTTTATTTGGCAAACCTACTGGGGGATGAGAGAGGTGAGCTGTAGGATTTGCCAATGCCCAATAAGCCATTTGCCATTTCTTTAGTACCAACAAATAGGGCCAGAGGAAGACTGACTTTTCTCTTGCTTTATAGGTTTACCCTGGGAAGGAGAGAACCACTCTGTCCCCAATAAGTGATGATTTGTAGCAAAATGAGAGACGTGGGCTTGTTCAGTCATTGGTTTTATTTTTGTGGCCTGCCCAAGGTTACAAGCAGATCCATTTATTTAACACTTGTGAGAAAGAGCCTCCTACCCAAAGGAGCTCTGGTAGCCTAGTGGTTACGAATTGGGCTGCGAACCGCAAGGTCAGCAGTTCAAAACTACGAGCTGCTCCGCGGGAGAAAGATGAGGCTTTCTGCACCCGTGAAGATTTACAGCCCTGTTCAGGGTCGCTATGGGTCGGAACCGACTCAATGGCACTTAACAACAACAAACCCAAAGACTTGTTTAGCATTACATAGAGCAGAGAGCAGAACAAGCTACTGCCCTATGGCCAGGGGTGGGGAACCTTTTTTCTGCCAAAATTTATAACACATTCATGGGCCAAACAAATTAACAACTTAAAAATTAACCTGCTATATTTGGTAAAACATTTAATTAACTCACTCACCCCTAGGTTGATGGCTGGAACTGCAGTTGTCATCACAGGGCCAGACCAAATGATTCTGCAGGCCAGATGTTCCCCACCCCTGTCCAAGATTTTTGAGGATCAGAGCCTCTCTTAACATAAAAAAAATGGTCTCAGGCCCCTCCATACGAGAGTCATATGGCCCTGGTGTGCACTGTAGGATAAGCACTGAACTGGTAACCACAATTGTGGCTGGCAATTCAAATCCACCAGTCATTTTATACAGGGTTGCTGAGTCAAAACCTACCCAAGGGCACTTAACAACAATGTGGCTAAAATGTGTGGTTTAAAAAAAGATGCATGTATATGTGCATTCTTGGACTCTTTGTCCAATTGCTCAGGCTAGAGGAACTATGTTGAGACTGGTGTGAGACCACAAGCCCAATGATTCTTTTTTTTTTTTTTTTTAATATTTTATTGTGAATTATGTGATAGTTTACATGGGAGAACATTAGTTTCACATTCATTCT